ACAAGACAGTGCACGAAAAAAGATTTTGAACATATACAAGCATACACTTTGTGCATGTGTGCACCTTGAAAAAAGGTTATGTCTATATTTTGTGCAGCTTTGGGGTTTCTTGAAAGTTGCCAGTAGTAAGACACTCAAGCCTTTGTTGCTTGATATCTTGCAACATAAAATTTGTCGCGATTAGGAAGAATTGCCTGCTGAGTCATAAACTCAGCTCAAATATGTAGAGTAATACTTCTCCTAGTCTCATGCAGCTGAAGATTATTTTATAAACTAGTTGATAGAATGTAATCTATCTTGGACACCACAAGGAAGGAACAGTGTTACAGCTGCTCGTAATGTTACACTTTTGTTTTTTGTAATTAAGGACACTGAGGGCCTTGGTTGTCTGTTGTTCATGCTAAATATCACATTATAACAAAATTTTAGTCTTTTGCACTTCACCTGTGGGGTTTTCTCATTGATTTCTTTGCATCTTTGTTCAAAGCATCTCCAAGGTGAAGCTGTGGTTTGTGGTGATATTTGAAGTCTAAAAGCATGCCAGCTGCTTGTGGCATTGACGTTGTACAGTCATAACTGCCTTCCTGATATCAGTATCACAAAAAATAAGTCACTTTTATGGCATGTTGATCTATTGATAAGGTGGAGACAGGCCTGCCTTTTCAAGTGTTCAGGCACTTAAGAAGTAGCCTACTTAAGTGGCATTTAAGCACGCATAGAATAACTGATTTGCGCTTTTAAGCAATGCCCAACTCAGAACAAACCTTCCCACAGTGAACAAAATAAATCGATATGAATAAAATTATAAATTGTAGGAGGTTTATAAGATGTGATAACAAAGCATAATGTAATAAATGTCTATATGCCAATAACAATCGCATTAAGTGGGTAGTTATTCAATAAAGCTATGAAGTGCTGAGGTTTGTCCCCTTGAGAATGTTCTTAGAAGTAGAATGAGTAATTGGATTCTCGCCTGTCCTCTTCAGTTCAGCCCTCTCTTTCTCTCTCGCTCTCTTCTGCTCCCCCCCTCCCCCCAAGATCCAGGGATAGTCACTCTGTCTGGCTTTCCGTTGAACACCTTGCTGCTGTGACAGCAGTCAAGTGAAACTCGGAATTTTAAAGAGAGAGAGAGGGAGAGAGAGATACGGACAAAATTGCGTGGCTTCAAAATAAAAGCACCAATGACCAAAGTGTGAAATTGAAACTTAGTCAAGTTCAGTTTCCTAAAAAATATAGGTAACTAAATTACTCTCTGGCTAAATTTAGTTCTTGTTTTTTTTTAAAGATGCATATGCTTTTAACAAACACATAGAATCTGTCTGAGATTACAAGATGAGTTTTTGCATTATTTAATTATTATTTATTTATTTATTTTGCTTAGGTTTTATTTTGAAAGTCTAAAGGAAAAGTTCCCTTATTATAGTAAACTCGACAGCTGCCGGCGCGGACACCTTGTTATCTGTGGACAGGCTTCGCGGTGGTCGGCTTCAATTATCGTTTTACTGGGACACTTTTTTTAATCGCTCACTTTCCTTTAAAAAAAACAAACAAAAAACGTTTTCACGGTTTCAAGTGTTTCGAACTGCTGCTGCCGCAATTACCGGGAAAAAAAATAGCAGCAACGGTCCAGGATGAACTTTTCCTTATCCCGGTTAACATTTTCGCTTCTTTGATTGGAGAATCCCGGGCGTGTGGAATTACACTTTTCCATTTTTAGTGGGTTCACTGCGAGTGGAACAGTGGGCGAAAGTGTTAGGTGAAGACTTTGAAGATCATAAAGCGTGGTGGTGATTCTCACGAGGAGACCTGAAACCTCGAATACTGACGGGAGAAATATTCAAGGTAAGCCTACGCGCTCATGGAAGAATAATGCTGCATATGTTGGTTGGCTTTAGAAACCTAGGCTAAAGTTAAACACACACACACATATGTATATATCACATTATCTCTCGCTCTCTCCATATATATGTGTGTATGTGTGCGTGTGTATAGAGAGACAGAGAGATATGTATATATCACATTATAGATAGCTAGATAGACGTGTGTGTATCTATTTATGTTTGCGTTTGAGTATCTCTGATATACATTTGCACCTCAATCAATTTATGAAAACATTTTGTGAATAAAATATAAACTAAAATAATCTTACTAAATAATCTTTGTGCTATAAAGTGATAATTAATTTACAAAAACATTAAAAAGGAGAGAGATACTAAGGCTCATTTGTTACATGCCCTGTAAGATAATAATGGTGGTTCAGTGTTAGTATTTATTATAAATGGCTTGGTTAACAGTGGTCGACCCATTTTTAATGTGTTATTTTGCCTTGTTTATTTCACATTAATTTCTTTTTTCATTGCTTATGTGCATGCTTGAGCTAGGAATACATCAGTGCGCTGTTTACAGTAAAAAGGTTGTGACATTGGTTACCATTTTCTTCACCTCTCTCAGCCTGTATCTGTACAAAGAGGTGATGTCTGGGTTCATGCTGCTGCCTGAAGGCAGCCATCAAAGGTAGTGACAACAGCTCGAACTTGCTCTCCTTACAGCTGTAGCGTGCGGTTTCCTGTCAGTGATGAGATGCACAATCAAAAGACTTCACTCATGTAGAAAAAACCCCCAGCTCCTGAACAACAGAAGATGGGCAATGGCCCAAATTAAATTAGATAAAGCAGCACATGCAGATATGAGAACTACTGGAAACTGAAAGTGATAAAGTAACAAATGAGAAGGGTAATTTTTTTAACCATTCATCTTGAGAAATGCAAATGCTGCTGTGGTTGTGTGACTCATTGCAGAAAGCGCTTCTCCTTTGTGCTGACTTCTTTTTTTTTAATAATGAGGAAAAGAAAGCCGTTGATGGCGAACCAAAGCCCTTGGCGATCACCTAAGGCCACACTGGGGGTGATTTAGACTTAATAATATGCAGTCTTTTGTCCGTGCCAGAGTTCGTATGTGTGTTGTTTTATTGATTTATTCATATCCCCGAAGGAAATGTGTGCAGCATTCCACCTGCTCCTCCAATTTCCTCGCAGAGTATGTCAAGATACAGATAAAGGAGCCATGTAATCACATGCACAGACATGCACCCTGCATCACTGTGGTGCTATGGGAAGGTATGCAAGGTCCAATGCAAATGTACCCTCAGGAACATTCCCCACGACCCATATTCCACCTAACCTTGAAAAATATCTCCACATTCCTGCTTTGACTCAGCTTTCCTGGGGTTTAGTTGAGTGTCTGCTGCATGTGGTGAGATGAGAAAAAACAAACAACTTATTACAAATACTTTCAATTGAGTGTTTTAGAATCTCACTTTGAGACTCATTCAGTAGCCGCTCAGCGTTAGTGCTGTAAATCAACATGACAGCAGCAGCACTGCTGGGCCCGTTGCTTCATGTAATGTGCTTCAGAAAAACAAAAACGTCTTATCTTTTAGGAAACGGTTGCACAAAAGTGTAGCCCAGTGAAGTCTCCTCCTAGCAGCACCATTTAAGCCAGTGTTAGAAAAGGCTTGAAATGCTTATTAAGGACCCCTTTTTTGTCCCTTAATTGATTCTGTCATTTTTCTTGATGAAAAATCATATAGAACCATAAAATAAGTAAATCCAAACACATACGCACGTTTCAATGCAATCAGCGAATATTCTAATTTAAAAGTAAGTGACAGCTTTGTAAGTGTAAGCTGTCAGTATGGGTGTGCACAGTTCTTTTAACCACTGGCTGAACCAGCCTCTGAATCAGCCAGTGGTCTTTGACCCTTATTCATGCTCGCTGTCACTTCAGCTCTAAAGCCTGACAACAAAGAGCAGCTTTTGTTCCCTGGCTTACTCTTCTTCCATGCACATTCTTTGCTGCTTCACTCTAATGCTTGTAGACGAGTGGGGTGAATTTAGATTGAAAACTGGCACAGGAAACAAACTCAGGCTACTTTAAAGGCACATTCATAATAAATATGTTAATATGTCTATAATTTAAAATGCTCCAGTTTGTTCCAAGACTGAGGGTAAAAGAAATGGTGAAACTGGATGGGTCGTTTTTTTTCACATATTTAACTCAGGTGAACAGTCAGCAGAATAGGACAGACATGAAAAGCAGTGACAGAAAATGTTACCCTGAGGTACTTTAAATCTTTGAGAATGACAGGAAATGGTATTTTCAAGGTACTTTTACTGAAACCAGGTCACGTATGTCAAAGGGTTTAATAGGAGGTGCTTATCATTTGTAGAAAACATTCTCAACTCATGAAAGATTAAACTAAGAATAGACTAAAAATGTAAATGTTGCCTCTTTTCACAAGTGAATTGTATAATGTGATACCTAAGTCTTGTGAGATGTGTATATGAAATAAACATTTACTTTTGAAGAGAAATGCTAATGTGAGCATTCTAGCATGCCCTCAGTGGCAACGCTGAAATGCTGATCCTAGCAGTTTCGTCTACTGTCGTCAGAGCTTCATCTTTTCGTGTTTGGTTGAAAATCAACCCAACTGACAAGTAAATTATAATTCACTAGAAGATAAGTCTGTCACACGCATTTACATTAAGATACTTTTGGTATACTTCGTTGCTCAGTTATGGCTATATCTAGCAAATGTGTGTGTTGCATAGATGCCAGAAGTCGTGGCGTGGGCTGTTCCCCAAAATAACACAACACACTTAACATCTAGCCCACATTGCGCAGATCTTTGTCTGAGGCGATGCAACGCGTTTCAGTTCATCTGCTAGAGGTGTGAATTACCAAAGACCCAAAGGTGCAATATTATCATAATACCCAACTCAATGATACAATTTATTGTGATTCTGATATTTTTGCTAAATATTGCAATAAGTTATTGTGATATATTGTGTTTTATCATATATTTTCTGTTGCAAATGATGTCTTCAGTCATTTTTTTCTACAGCAAAGTGTGATTGTTAACCAGCCAGACTGACCAACACAGTTTATTCAAACTTGTAATTAAAGTTGCATGCACCTGACAAACTGAACTTTTTCTGTTGCAATATGGTCCAGTTTACTGACTAACTAAAATACTTTCTATTTACTTACCAATTCAATGCAAACATGTAGACTATTGTACCATTAAATAAGTTTTGAACCTAGAGAGTGATCACCATTTCTGAGATGTGAGGTGTTGTATGAATCCAGTGCCTGTGATGTCCACATGTGTCAGGTTAATGCAACCCTTTCTGCTGTACCTTTCCTCAACTTTGCACTTCCCTTCTCTGTAGAACCTAGGTGTGGCTGTATACATGAAAAAGCATTGAGATGGTGTCAAATATCTGGATCCCATTGTCTTCATCAAGACCAGGTGATCGATATGTTATCTTCTTAGCTCACTCTGAATTGGGAGGTAGCTCTAGTGTTTACTTTGGCATCCATGGCTGATTATTTTCAGACTTTTTACTATCATACAGTACTCTTTACAAATCCATCTACTTTGTCTTGCCCTTGTAAGAAAAAAATAAGTCCATGTGTCTGATTTAGATGTAGATGGCACTTTTTTGGTTTTCTTTCTTTTGCTTTATATCACCCACACCAAAAAGTACCAGTAGTCAGTACTTCGTTTTCACATATGCCAGAACCAAAACAAGATGAACGCCTGCCTAGAAAGGTAACTACACATTGCTGTCAACGCAGCCCATACAGTTGTAAGCGCTGGCCACAATGTTGATCACTACCTTAGACTACCTTATATTGTAGTACAAGCGTAAACCAGGTTGGTTATGTAGGTCAAAGTACAACCGCAGCAGGTTTATTGGTACTCTAGCACAGTGTATTTGTGGTAGTAAACTGCTACCAAACATACACCGCAACTGTAGTCTCTATTGTAAAGGCATACATAAAACAAATTTAAACTACTGGATTTTTGAAACAGATTTGTCTCTTTATTATTATTATTACAATTACCTATCCTCAAGCTAGGGCTGCTCAATTAATCGAATTTTAATCACGATTACGATCTGGGCTTTCAACGATCATTAAAAATGACTGAGCCGATTATTAGCCCCTCCCTCGTGCTTTACTCTCGCGCTGCTCTGTGTGGCAAATCAAGCGCACCTCTCTGCATTTCCAACACGTGTCACAACAATTAAGAAGACCCAAGGGAAGCTCGGAAAGCTAAGCAGAAGTTATTTGGGGAGGAGAGTGACTGCCGTTGGTTGAAAAGAGAGGTAAAAAAAAAAAAACTTCAGTGGTGTGGAAACATTATGGGTTCTACTTGACGTGGATCAAGTAGACATAGTGTGTACACTTTGCTACAGTGTCGTAACTGAGAGGAACACTGCAAAGTTCACTAAACATAGATGTTTACATTTTTCATTTATTTTTTATATTGTAAACATTTGCACTGTTATCAGTATTTGCACACTATTTTATATTATTTTTTAAAGTCATTATTCAATACATTGTTATTGTTAACCCTTTAAATCCCTGTAGAACCTGAACCGCGTAAGCTAGCGCAATAATTTGTTTTGCATATGAAACCGGAGGAGTTGTACTTACATCTTATGCCATCAGCTTGTCCTCGGTCACGGTTTCCTTCCACATAAAGCTTTGCAAAAATTGCATAAAAAGCGCTTGCAGGAACAAAAAAATAATATTCCAGAAACACGCTTTGCCGATCCGATCAGCTGTTTGTAACACTTCCCACATTGAACAAGACGTCAACGCGAACTATCGCATGTCCGCCATTTCCTGTCCGAAACCGACGTCATTTTCACGGAAAATGTAGTTTTTTACTTGTAGGCCTTAAAAGCCTATACTGGTGTTTTTATAAGTCATGTTTGACTTTTCTGAATAGTTGCTGGGATGCTTAGAACTCGAATTGCACTGCTGGAAAT